TAGCACATCCATCCAGTGAAATAAGCTCTCAAGAGTCAAGCCCACTGTATTTTGTCCAGCAACACCAATCCCTGATTTGGATAGCCATCTTTTTCCTAAAGAAATAAAGTGATTCAATTCAATAAAGATTGGGTCCTGCCCCACCCTCCTCTGAAACCCGAGGAAAGAGCAAGCAGCATCTTCTCTTGTCCCTCTGGGGCAAATGTAGGGTAGATCTACTCAGAAACCTATATAAAAGGGGTCATGATGAAGTGGCAAGGAAACCTGAAGCAATGGAGAACAATTATTCTGGTTTTTTATATTACACAGATTTATTTGGTTGGTGGTATGAGCAAAAATACTTCTGTAGCTCTCATGTTTTCTAATACTGTGTTTATAAAAAAATCTAAGTAACTGAGAAAAGTAAAAAAAAAAGCAAAAATCTTGTATCCTGAATTTTAGACTAAATTTAATGGCAAAGTTTTAATACATTAGAAAAAAAAATTAAAGGTAGTGCTTTATCTTTGAAAAGTATTTTTTTATTAACCAACGTGACTGTAGTGATGCAGTCACGCTGAGTTGATATTCCATTTCCCTCAGATAAATACTATTTACAGCATGCAGTTCCTTCCTCCAATCATACACAATTAGAACCAACTACATTCGTGTAATGAAGCAATTCTTCTCCCCTCAGGCCAACATAACTGACAAATCAAACAAAATACATATTATAAAGCTTGGACACCATTGTAATACGGTAATAAAGTTTACCTGATTTGAAGATCCAAAATGATCTGCCTTTTGTCCACATTTTCAGTGTAGACTTTTACACCATTTATCCGCAGAGGCTGAAACAATGAAGCAAGTAAAAGTTGGATTCTTCTACTGAAATATAGCATATTAAGCTTTTAACTTTGAAATAAAGGTGAATATAAAAACATTCATGCTTGAAGTTAAGCATTGTTAAAAGGTGCGAGGCAAAGCTATCAATTCAGTTCAAACAGTTATTTCAAGGGTAAAAATTATCTTGCTGGGATCCACTTAACCACAACTGTTCTGTCAATTACCCTGGATCCAGACTACTAGATCTCAAGATTTACAAAATGTTTAATATCAAGCTTTCCCTATTCCCTCAGTAAACATCTAATTTCTCTGTACAAGTGTATGTCTAATACTCCCAAAGCATTCTTTTCTGTGCAACTAAAACAAGCAGCTAAATTTAATTCACAAAAATGTTGTTGCCATAAGTGGAATTTAGTGAGAATGGACAGAAAAAAATCTGTAATTCTCGTAAGAAGTTGAGTCAACCACTTTGTGCTCTCTCTCTAAATCATGTGTTCACACTCTCCCTTCCTCATATAGAACAACACATATAAATCAAACATTTCCAAGCCTCGAACATTCATCAAACTCTAGACAGGAGAGGATGACCAGTGACCTCACTTTTAAGTTTTTCCTTTTTGGAAAAATTGTCATATTTCTATTTACATCTTTTTAGTAATTTAAGTAAAATCAAACTCTCACTACTGTCAGATTCCCACTGTGTTGGGGCTGTGCAGCTCACAGGATGCAACTCAATGAAGGCTGCAACAGAAAGTAAGAATAGCTGTTTGTCATGTCTGAGATAACTCTGTCCAGCTGCAGAAGGATACAGAGGTGTGGGAGCTAATTTAAACCCTAGCATGACTTAAAAGGAATGCTACAGTCTGTGATACAAGGCATATCTAGGGCAGGACAGAGGCACTGTGAAAAAGAATTTACAATTTAAAAAAAAATAATAAAAAACCCCAACACACAAAAGGTGCAGTAAAGTACAATGAACTGTAATATATGTGAAATAGAGCCATGAGGAGAGAAAAACAATTTCCCTCTATCACACCTGAAACTTAACTTCAGGTTTCCTAACATTTGGGAGTGGGTGGGAAATATTTCTGTGCAGATTTGAACAGGCTACATGAAAATGGTTTGTACAACAGGGTCCCTCAGAAAAACCTCCCCAGACACTGACCTGATGCCCAATATCAATCTTGGTGAAGCTGAAGGTACTGAGGTGGTTGTTTGCTCCTCTCACCGCTGGTTCGATGGTCTCTCGGAAGAGTTTCTCGATGAATTGGCAAATGAAAGGCCACATCTGCTTTACAGTCTAAGGAGAAAAAATAACCCTACGTGGAACACAACTTAGCCCAGAAGGAAAAAGTACTCTTTAAGGCACATGTAAGAAATTTTGTATAAATTTTAAACATAGGAGGTTTGGATAGATTTCATTACAGACATAAAAACTGGCTCCTTTTTACATGCAGGAAACCTTTAGGAATTCTCAATTTGTAAGTTTTATACATTTGCACAAACCTGAAGCAGTGGAAGAGGAAAACAATATTATGATTTTTTTTCTTTTATCCCATAAATCCATATGCATTCAGCACCAATGCTGAATGTTAAGCAGAAGGATAAAGAGGGTTAAGTTTATTTGCATGTAAAGAGGAACAGGAAAAATGCGATAAGCACAGCTCTTAACTACATGCCTAAGGTCTGTAAATTTAAAAACTCTGACATATCCGAAAAGTCTGTATTGCTTATTTTTTCTTACTATATTTTAATTGACTCTTTTTCTCCTATGTACTTTGAATGACAGGCAATTTAAAAAAACCCAGGCTACATAGATCTATATCTCAGATTATCACACACACAAAACAAAACTGCAAATTTCATTTATTTTTAGATTGTAGGTTAGGAATCTACAGTAACTGGAAAGTATCCCAGACAAGTAGAAAATTAAAGACTGTGTTTACAGCTGCTATGAATTCTGCACAATTATAGCTGTCATTACTGTAATGCTACTTAAAATCATTTACAAAACTCACAATTTCAAAAGCATGAAAATAGATTTAATCTTTCTTGTGACTAACGGGATCAACAACCAGAAAATTCAAGTGTATAAAGAGCACATAAAGTTAAAACTATTCTGTTCTCTGATTATTGCCTCGCCTTTTATTTTAATCTCAGATTTCCCTCCTGCCTCTTCCCATTTGGAAGCAATGCTAATGTCTAACCCCTTACCTTGTTGAGCCATTCTGCCCTCTCTGTGTCTGGAAAATGGACCTAAAAAACCAAACACAAACACAAAACAAAATTAATACAAACACAAAACACTTTTTAGTTAACAGTGCCCAGACATTTAGAAAACAGGAAAGCTCAGGCATCTCCCTAAGCAATGTAAACAGTAAACAACATATTAAGTAGTTAACATTCTTGAGTATTAGCAGCCAAGCACATTAAAATATGAACTCATTTCTGAACTACATAAATATATACTTGGACTTGTATCTAACAGTAGCATCTGGAATAAAGTATTGCTGTAACACCACAAACTTTAAAAAAAGGTAAAAAAAAAAAAGGCAAGTATAGCTGATACAGTTTGTGTCAACCAAATTTAACACATGCTTTTCAGGGGCTTTTAACATGGCACACACAACTGACAGAATCTTCTACTTCCTTCCATTCATGCCACATCTTCTGCAATATCAATAAATCATGGCTAGAAATATTTCATCAGTGAAGCTGAAGCTCAGGAAAATGGATTTAAGTTCCAAAGACCTTCAAAAGATATTTTTAGTGATTTTTTTTTTTTTAAACAACCATAGAAAGCAGTAAGAAACAGCAGTGTGATAGTATATACGCAGGACAGAAATTACCCTCACAACAGGAAAACATCAATGAAATGATGGAAGAACTGACGCAGTTTTCCAGACACAGGAGAGCACAGTAGTAGTTTTACATTTCACCAATACAGAAAACCCCCGAAAACCTGAAGTTCAGTAGAAGCCAAGTTAAAAAACATTTCTTTAGAAACAGCTTCTAGAATGAGATGCAGATCACACTCCTCAAGCACAAAGAGCCTTTGAACACACTAAAAACCAATGACCTACATATAGTGACTTTCGTGAAGCCATGTCTCTACTTAACTGAATTGCCAAGTCTTAATCTCTTCGTAGCACAACAGATTGTACCACTGGCTTTACCAGCAGTTATTTTTATTATGCATATCCCAAATGTGAACAGTCAGTGAAATACCTACTTTTTAAACTGCATTTTCAACAAGACGAATTTGAAAGCAAGCTCCATTAATGACTTCTTTTTTCAGTTTTTATTCAATTCTTGCATTAACAGTCAGCACTAACATATTCTTCATATACTCAATTTACCATCAGAGCAGCACTTAATTTCATCTAAGCCTTCATGTTTTAGCTATGCTGGAGGATTGGCCCCTGCAGCATTATCAATATTGTCAGTTATTCCTCTAGTCTGTTTTTTTTTCCAGTATTCCCAAGTCCAGAACAAAGTCCTATGTTTTTACAGATTCTTAAAGAATTACAAATTATTTTGTCTTCTACTGTCAAGAGAGGCTCTTGGTATCTTTTCAAATTACATTTTTCAAGTATATCTCATATCCATCAAAACCATGAAAAGTGATGCAAAAACATCGAATAATCTGCTTCACAGTAACAAAAACCAATATAATTTATTTTACTACATAAGTTCAAAGAATAGAATTATTAATAACAGATGGAGCAGTTTGGGAACAATGTTATTATATTTTATTTATTTAGAATTAATTTCCTAGAAAATTACGGTGGGTAGAATGTCAGAACTCTGTACTTAGAGGGTTTTGTGGACTCTTTTTTTGCATTTTTAAAAAACAAAACACAATTTTTTTGCATTTGCAACACAAGCAGGTACTATATGTACATGAACTTACATGAACAGAGCTTACACTCAGCTTTTGTCTTGCAGGGTTCTCAAGTTGCTTCCAGTGGTCAAAAAGTTAAAGGAACAAAAAGAATCAACACTGTTAACTCCAATGCTAATAGGTAACATTTTGATCTTTCTTCTAAAATGTTTACCTTCTGAATCTGCAGACAGAAGATGTGCCAATTCTCAATAATGACTTATCACTTATGCATGATGTTGGACCGATATGAATATTTCATTCTGATTTGCTTAGGAGAGTGAGCAATGATGTTCACAGGGTGGGAACTGAAGAGCTGTTCCACCAGAGGAGAATCAAGAATTATGTAATGCAAGAAGAACATGTTACACACTTAGACAAACACAAGTCTCTGTGGCTGGATGGGATTCACCCAAGGGTACTGAGGGAGCTGGTGGAAGTGCTCACAGAGCCACCTTCCATCATTTACCAGCTGTCCTGGCTAACTGGGGAGGTCCCAGTTGACTGGAAGTCAGCAAATGTAACCCCCATCTATAAGAAGGGCCAGAATGAGGATCCAGGAAATTACAGTCCTGTCACTCTGACCTTGGTGCCAGGGAAGGTCATGGAGCTGATCTCCTCTTGTGACAGTGTGACCTATTTAGTGGATGAGGGAAAGGCTGTGAATGTGCCTACTCAGACTTTAGTAAAGCCTTTGACACCATTTCCCACAGCATTCTCCTGGAGAAACTCGCTGCTCATGGCTTGGTCAGACACATCCTTTGCTGGGTAACAAACTGGCTGGATGGTTGGGCCCAGAGAGTGGCAGTGAATGGAATGACATCCAGCTGGTGACTGGTCACAAGTGTGTTCCCCAGGGCTCAGTCCTGTTTAATGTCTTTATCAGTGATCTAGATGAGGAGAATGAGGGCACTGTCAGTCAGTTTGAAGATGACACCAAGTTAGGTGGGAGTGTTAATCTGCTGGAGGGTGGGAAGGCTCTACAGAGGGATCTGGACAGGCTGGATAGATGGCCCGAGGCCAGTGGTCTGAGGTTCAACAAGGCAAAGTGCTCTGTCCTGCACTTGGGTCACAACATCCCCCTGCAGTGCTACAGGCCCGGTAGAAAAGGACCTGGGGATGCTGGTCAACAGCAGCTGAACATGAGCCAGCGCGTGCCCAAGGTGGCCAAGAAGGCCAATGGCATCCTGGCCTGTATCAGGAATAGTATGGCCAGCAGGACCAGGGCAGTGATTGTTCCCCTGTACTTGGCACTGGTGAGGCTGCACCTCAAATCCTACGTTCAGTTTTGAGTCCCTCATTACAGGAAAGACATTGAGATGCTGGAACACATCCAGAGAAGGGCAGCAAAGCTGGGGAAGGGTCTGGAGCACAAGTATTAGGAGGAGCAACCAAGGGAGCTGGATTGTTTAGCCTGAAAAAAGGAGACTCAGCAGAGACCTCATTGCTCTCTACAACTACCTGAAAGGAGGTTGTAGCCAGGTTGGTCTCTCCTCACAAGTAAAAAGCGACAGGATGGGAGGAAATGGCCTCAAGTTGCACCAGGAGAGGTTTAGATTGGATACTAGGAAATGTTTTTTCATGGAAGGAGTTATCAAGTGTTGAAATAGGCTGCCCAGGAAAGTGGTAGCCACCATCCCTGGAGGTACTAAAAAAAAGAAAAGGCAGCTGTGGGACTTAGGGCCATGGTTTACTGGTGGAGCTGGCAGTATTAGATTAATGATTAGACTCTATGTTCTTAGAGGTCTTTTCCAGCCTAAATGATTCTACGATTCTACAGCCATTGCAATGAACAGCAACAAAACAAAATAAAAAGAAACAACATATTAAACACACAGATGAGGAAAGGGAAAGAAAATTCATGAAAATACCAAAAGCAAACCTGCCTGCTGTGAGTAATGCAAGATGTAACAGTTGTCATGTTCACAATTCATTTTTAGTCTTCTGTACAAGTATCCAGTTGACATTCAAGAGAAGGGACACACTAGACTGAGAGAGGCTTCCCATTCTAAATATAACCTTAGCCCAGATGAAATTCACTTTCCTCTACAGGGTGATCCAACTTCCCATATTCAGATTAGAAACTCCCCAAGGCACAGCCCACGTTCCCTGCACCGTGCACACGGCTGACATCCAGTACATCTGTCTGGAATGAGAAAAAGAGGTAGCATCTCTCTCTTGCACCTATCAAGTACCCTTCAGCCCAGAATTATGCAGAAACACTTCAAGTAGGTGGGGAAATAAGCAAGAGGCGCAGATACTAATATCTACCCATATATGCTAATTTATTAATTTTTGATTTTATCTACTGTACAGTCTTATAAAGACCTTGATTAACAGGACATGGTTCTTAATTTTTCCACAGATTTAATAATTGCTTTTCCTTTATTGTGCCACACCTATCATGCTCCTACTGTTATGTGAGTTGGTATTAAGCCAACTCCTTAATTATATAAGTCTAGTTTGCTTCTGCAATTGGATGTGACAATAGGTAACAAATAATACAGTGAATTATATCTTCCATTCCTGTTTTTCATTCCTTTCTCATCCTTGCTTTTCTGCTCACTCAACTTTGAACATAATTCAGTTTTATTCGGTGGCTTCTCTGACACTCAAAACAGAGAGCAAAGAATAAAACTTTCCATCTCCAAGACTCTGAAATTTTCAATCCAGCCAACCTTGAATCAAAAGTTGAGTTTTATTTAATCTGTAGATGCTCTAAAGCCAATTTGTCTGAAAACAAAGAATAAATATTTATTAATCTACCGATTCCATGCATTTTTTAGCCTGCTATGTGAGTGAAATATTAGTGGCAAAATCATATTTCGCTTTAAGAGTTTCTGATATCAAACACAATCTTATTCAAAGGCAACAGGAGAAAGCCTGAGGGATGGAAGCTGGTCCTCTGGATCAGTCAGGAGCAACATAAGAGCATTGAGGCAACTACACAAACATTTTATTGCCAGAAGCAATAATCAGACTAACTGATGTGCAAAACCTGTTAATTCTTGTATAAAATCTATTGACAAGCCTGACTGAAAGAGACAGAAGTCAAGATTTCAGCAAAGGCAGTTAAAGACTGAAAACATTTTCCACTTGGCTTCTGTTATGAAATTGCTCATGCAGATTTGGCAAGTACTGTCCCATTTCAACCACCTGGTATAGTAATTTATTATTCAAAGCAAAATATAACAAGAGAGAACTGTTGCAAGAAATACCCTAATGACCATGTTCAACACCAAAGACATGTTCCAGGAATGTTCTACTATTAAACATTATCTCGCTAAATACTTGGAGGTGCTCAGAAGATGTGATTCTGCACATTAAAAATATATGTTTGGGCTTTCTCACACAACTGCTTGTGCTCAGTTCT